GAAGAAATTGGGAATGAGAGGAACAGAGGCTTACCAGAACAAATGACGCCGGAATGAAAGTCGCCGAGGTAAGGCAACGGTTATAGATACGACGAAACGGCGAAAGCTTCGCTGAAATGGAAGAATGAAGACGGTTGTAGAGCTTGAAGCTAGAGTAATGGTGGATTTGGGAAAGTTTAAGAGAGAGAGAAAGCCAGAAAATCAAGTGCAAAAGTAAAGAAATGAAGAAAAAAAGTAAAGTTTTATCAAAAACTTGAAGCGGCGGCAAAACACGACATTTATTGCGCCTGGAGGAACGCATGCGTCAAACGACGCAGACGGATGAAAGACGGCTTACAAGCGCGTCACAGACACGGGCCAATGAAGATAGAACACATAAGGGGAACGGTTGTGAAGAGGTGCATGACAGCTCATGCGCGTGGGGGAGTTGCTCTTGGAGTTTACGAATTAATGGAACCAGAACCTCGGGTAGGAGGTGCGATTTTAAGCAGCTTGGAAAGCATGAAACTTGATTCTTGATACCAGTGGACAGTAAAGTCCAGGGAACTTTGAGGTCGGTGAGTTTGATCTCAGACAGAGGGGCACAGATGAACGAACAGTGTAGGTTCCATCACCTCAGAATGTCGAGGTAATAGAACCTAGGGGGCAGTTGTGGGGATATATTTTCTAAGTACCAACACGTGGCATGGTGACACCGACGTGTCAGCCAAGGTGCCACGTGTCGTGGTAGTTGTGCCGAGGTTATCTTGGCAAGGCCGAGGTTATCTCCGAAGATATCGGAATCCGAGATAAGCGGATAAGGGACAAGAGTCCTAGAGTAAAGAGAAGACTTTGCTAAAGATAAGGATAAAACTCTTAGGGAGTTTATCTTTATCTCTTGAAGAGTCCAAAGTCAGTATTGAATTGAAGTCCATAGAAGTCAGGCTTCTAGTAGGACTTGGATAGAGTAAACTATAAAAGAGAGGCACCCCCGTGGGTCTAAGGTACGCAGTTTTATACTCAAACTTGTGAGTGTAGTACTTGATTTATCTTTGAGAGATATACTGACTTGATCGTCGGAGTGCCCCTGGGTGGTCGAAACCACAGCGGGATTCTTATATTTCTGTTGCAGGTAGTCAGGTGTCATCTATTCTGCCAGTGCTCTCCAGCTGGTTACTAAGCGGGCAGTGTGGTCGAAAAATCACCCACACACTAGTTATATGTAAAAATGTATAAGATGTGTGTTTTGAAATTCTACCACTTTTGACATGATTTAATCCTAGTAAACACAGTAAATGGTCGTTAGCTTGACCCATTTTGTAAACAAATGTTTAGAAAGTTCATTCAATAAAAGAGATATAACAAGGGATAAATTACACTATGAAGGTTTGAGAAAAATATAGTTAATATTACACTTTTTATATAATTATGCTGATCTTTCTTAATTTACATAATAATTAATTTTTCACCAAAAATTTGTTATGCATATGAATAAAAATAAAAAGAATTATCATGTCATCTATTTTTTCCTAAAATGTGCATTCATTTTTATTTATTTTAGTGTCTAGGTACGATCTACATTAGTTTTAACTATTTAAATTTTACTAAAAGAGAAATTAGTATAATTATGTTAAAAGTGTGAAATTAATTATATTTTTTTCAAATTTCAATGGAGGTAATGTAATTTACCCTATTTCAAATAAATGGTAAAAAAAATTGCAGAAGAATAGGAGAATAAAAATATTTACAAAGGACATGGATGGTAGAAAAAATTGCAAAAAAGTGAAATCTCTTTAATGAAAAAATGAGCATCTATTTGCACACACTCAATCCTCTATTTGCACATCCTTCTTAATTCACACACCTAAAAAAATAAAAAATAAAATATTTACTCATTACACACACTTTTATTCCAATTATATACCCCATAAACACAACTTTCCAACTCTCCCAATCCACACACCTTCTAGACCGGCGACCACCTCGCCGGCGGAGACGCAACACCATCGTTACCACCTCCCTTCCAGTCGCCATTTCCACCCCTTCCTCCACCCACCGGCGACACTACTGCGACGCCCACCCCATCCCCTCGATCTCTCTCTCTCCCCTCTCAGTTGCGAAAAGGGGGCTTCAGATGTTGATTCTTTCTAGATCTAGGTTCTCCTCTGTCTCTCTCTCTGTGTGCAGAATTGAGGGTCGCGAAGGGGTGGAAGCTACGACGACGGTGGTGTTGTGTCCCGAAGTGAGGGGTTACGGGGGTGGTGGGGAGGGTGAGTGAGCGACGAACGATAGGGTGGGGTGGGGCTTCAATTCGAGAAAAGGGAGGCTGGAGGGAGGGGACGGAGGGAGGAAGGAGATGACCGAAGGGGGAGGCACTTTGTTGGGTATTAGGGTTAGGGCTTAGGGTTTTGGTTGGAGAAGAAAGGGATATTTTGGTAATTTTATTTTAGGATAAATATGAAATAAAAAAAATATCATTAAGTGTGTGAGGAGAGGGGAAGTGGTGTGTGCAAATAGAGGCTCCTGACTAAAAGGCCTTTCTTCTTTCTTGAATTTACCAAATTGCCCATTCCTCTTCTCTTCCTGCTACTCTCTGTAACTACTCCCTCTGCAACTCTGATGGCCGGTCACCTACCATCGACCACTACAACCATGCCCTTTCTCACCACCCCTAACCCCTCCCACAGTCCTCTGTCGTCCCCCACCAACACTGCCACCATGCTTCATTTCTCTCTTGCCACTCCTAGCAACCCTTCCATACCCAACTATCTCTTTCACCCAAAACCTAACCACCAGAAAGCCCCTCATTGTCGAGACCCCAAATCCACAACCCTCGGTGTTGCAAAACACAATTTGATGTTGAGTGTCACTTATGCTCGGTGCAAGTACAAAATGTGCATAGGTGCAAGTGTATTTTGTGCCCAGTGCAAGCATAACTTGTGTGTTACATATTGCACTTGCACAGAGCACATATTATTTTTTGTTTTGTTTTTTCTATTCTAGCTTTCAATCTAAGTAATATTTATTTATTTTTTAAAAAAGTACATAATTAAAAGGCAACACGTACGCTCATGCGCACAGTCACACACATGCAAACAATAACAAACAAACACATACATGGTTTCTTCTAACAAACATGGATCGACCATGGATTATGCAGAAGGGAAACCGGGGACATAGATCGATCATGGATTATGCTGAAAGGAACATGGGGACGGGTGTAGGGGGACCGATATGTTCATGGTTCCTTCCAGCATCAAGATGACACTCTTGATGGAAGGGCGCAGACCAGGATCATCTTGAACACACCATAATCCCACCTTTACCATTCTTTCCAATGTCTTCAAGTCTCTGCTAATTTCTTCATTCCATTCATCCCCAACAAGCTTATACAACTCTCCGGCCACAAAGCATTTGTATACCCAAGTAGAAAGAATTATCTCATCTGCATTGGACACGTTAACCTCTATGTTCCTCCTGCAACAGATAACCTCCAACAACACTACCCCAAAGCTGTATATGTCCGCTTTTACCGATATCAAGTCTTGCTTCCACCGTTGCTGTTGCTGTTGTTGCTGCTGCCCCTGAAACTCGGGTGCCAAGTAAGATGACACCAGGCCAGCGGTTACTGTTACCCCTCTGGATTGTCCTGTAATGCTTTTCATATGATTTGGCAGTAAAAGCTTTGCCAAACCGAAATCAGAGATCTTCGCAGTCCAAGAATCATCCATGAGTATGTTTTGAGGCTTTATACCGCAGTGAACGATACAGGCTTCACATTCTTCATGTAGATAGAGAATCCCTCTAGCGATATCAAGAACAATCCTCACTCTTTCTTTAAAACCAAGACGTCTCTGATGATCGGTTGCTTTGAACAAAACATTTGCAACCGAGCCATTACTCATGTACTCATAGACAAGAAGCTTCCTCCGACCCTCCACGCAAAAACCAAGTAATCGAACCAAGTTCCTATGATGTGTTCGCCCGATTGTAGTCACCTCTGTTTGGAACCGGAACTCCCTGTGGCTGTCTCCATCTTCCTCCGGAACATTCTCTAGTCTCTTAACAGCAACAACGATATTTTTGTTACCGCCCCCAGATAGAGTCCCTTTATAAACTGTTCCAAACGAACCCTTACCCAACTCTTCCTTGAAACCTTGTGTCGCTTCTTCAAGCTCGTTGTAAGAAAATGACCGCAAACTGAACTCTTCAGTTGTTAGGCCTAATTTTGCATTGTCCGACAATTTATTGTACTTGTGAACTCGGTGCCTATACACAAGGAAACTAAAACTTGCTATGACAATACAGAGGCACGCAAGGGAACCCAGACTTGCAGCAAGAATCGAAATCAGATGTCCTTTGTTTTCAGTCACGACTATTGGAGTGTATGAACTACCGGTGATTAATTGATTGGGAATTTTAGGTTGAACACCTGTTTTCGAACTTATCTTGACAAACGCTGTTGCCGAATCACTCAAATTTCTTATACCATATCTCAAAGGAAGCTTATGTTTTCTGCATTGTCCGCTAAAATGCAGTGCTGCTGCGCAATTACAATCTTCTAGGCAATATTTCCCGCAATCTTCCTTCTTCTGCATCGGTACAACAGAGTAAGCGTGGTCTCCAAACCTTAAATTCTCCAAACTAGTAATGTTCACTAAATGAAAGGATTCTTCGCTATTGCAACGTTGTTTGGTAAAATTCCTATAGCAACCCAGGACCATTTTACTGGGGTTGAAAGGAACAAAACCAGGATAACAATAACAGTTTGCTTCAGAGCTGTTGCGTGAGCAGAAACTGTTTAATCCACAGAAACCATGGACTTGACAGTGATCCTGCATCGCAGACCACTCCATCGACACGATTGAGCTCGTATTGCTCGCAAATCTGTGTGAATACAACCTAAAAATCCCATCATCATCAAGCGTTGCGCGGTAAATTATTACAGTTTTAGTGTCATAGGCAGAGCTTTTTGCCAAAGTGCGTTGTATATCGGAAATATTCTTACCTAGGTAGAGAAGACCATTAAAGTTGAGGTTCAAGTTCAACAAGTACTTACCCATTCCTGGAACAAAGGACCAGTAAGCATCAAAAAAAGTAAAGTTTACTGGGTAGGCGATGAGATTTCCATAGTCCTGCATTTGACTTCCATAGTACTGCATTTGAAGACCATAACGGCCACTTGAGTGGTCTGATGAACGTGACACACTAGAAACTAGTCCTCTATAATAGTACAGAGTTTGGTTTCCTAGTATGGTGTCAGTTGGGAAATCAAAGCTTTGCCAAATAACAGAAGAATTGTCCTCCAACACGAAATTGCCAGAGTCGAGCAGATAAGCAGAGACAGCACGACGGTCAGCAATGACATGAGCAATATCCAACTCTGTGCCTTGCTGGGTAAGGTTTAGAATGAGCCTACCATCTCTGGTAAACTCAATTGTGGAGTTTGAGGACACGGGTGGGTAGTCTCGATTTGCAGTCCAGACAACAGTGTTGTTTGGGTGGCAAATTATCCATATTCCTACTGCAAATCCATTCTTTTCTGGGTAGAAACCGAATGCGAAAAGGCCTGAAGGTGAGAGCCATGAATTGGGTTTGCTTATGGGGGACAGAGAAGAACCCAATTTTATTAGATTGGAGGTCTTTTTTTGAGCTTCTATGGCTGCAAAGGGAATAAAGAAGATCAACAGCACAGCAACAAAAATAGAAGCCATGAGAGATAGGGAGAGAGAGAGAGTTTTGTTATTTGTTTGTAGAAGCACAAATAGAGCATACAGCTAATATAGACATTTTTTTCCATCGCCTAGGCCTCAGAACATCATTTTTTTTTCTTATTAAAAAAGAAAAAAGAAAAAAAGCACAACAAACAAAAGGAGACCAACAACCTCTGTGCTAACATAAAAATTATTATACACTTTGTGGAGTATTATGGGGTTGTTTTACCAATGAAAAATTACAGCACACTCAGATAGGCGGTTGCCTAAGATCACTTTCCTTTATTGTTATTTTTTTTTCTTTAAAAAATTGTAATTCAGTGTAAGTTTTCAAAACAAATTATGAATCAGTGGCAAAGTTTATCAATATTAATAATTAAAGTGATAAACTTTTCCATGATTTTATAATTTTTTTTGCCTCATATTTTTACACTCTTATATTACATTTGGTTCATTAGAATAAAAATTGAATGTAATGAAATGACAATTCTTTTTAATTCTAAATAATGATTTCATTTGTAATTTTTTTTTTCATTATTTTTTTAATATACTAAACATGACATGAAATGCTTATTTCATTCCACCATTCTAGAGCCAAACACAACTTTTATAATGAATAATTCTGTTTTTTATTATTTTTTTAATAAATCAAATGTGAGAATGAACATTATGTTAAAATAATCATTCGATTCTACTTTTATTTCAATGAACCAAAAACTACCTTAGTTCAAAGAGCAAAGTTTAAAAATACTTATTATCCAAAGGCCTATAAAATAAAAAGATTTTCTTGTCTAAAATTCAAAAATAAAGACTTCATTTCAAATAGCTAGGCAAAAAAAAGGAACAATATTATTGTCAAATGGCCTAGTAAATTTTTTTATTTTTTATTTTCCAACGTCTCCCAATTTTAAAGGTTATTAGAAGACTGTAAAAGAATATTATTTTTTATTATATGATGATTTTTAAACTATTCATGTGTAAATGAGATCCGATTGTCTAAAACTCAAATAAATGTGTCCAAATATCATTAGATGTCCAAGTATTATTAATTTTTTTAAATTAATCACAATATATATATGATCTCTTGCACTTTTAGTTATAGTGTTAGTATCCATAAAAAATTATCGGTAAATTATGAGTTAGTTCTATGTGATGAGTTTAGATATTTAAAAGTCCTGAACACTTTTTTTTAATATATCAATAAATTCGAAAATATTTATTTTGTTCCAACACTTTTTGACAATATTACTAGATAAAAAAAAAATGATCAAGATTTATAGGTTAATAAGTCTGGCCAATGAGATCAGAAATGTTTATTTTGTTACAATACTTTTTGAGAACATTAACAGGTAAAAAAATGATCAAGATTTATAGATTAATAAATCTGGCCAATGGGATTGGTGAGTAAATCCCCTAAAATTATTCATTTGGACAAATTGATGGGGCTCTTGACTAAGAATAATTTTTTTTTTTTAAATGAAAGGAAAAAAAAAAAAGTGGGTCTGACAAATGGACTTTGAAAGGTCTAAAACACATTGTCCGAGAAGGGCCCATATTTAAAACTAAGGTTAAATTTTGCTTCCACCTTTAAATTGACACGATTACTAGTTCTACTGGTTAAATTTATTATTTGACAAGTTGTGGATGAAATTTTTATGGATATATAGTTTTAAAATTTGTGCTTTTTGCTGCTAAGAGTAGTTTTGTTGTGAGAATTTGAGAATCATGAATGAATAGATTGGATAAAATAAAACATGTAGACCTATTAATTAATTTAATTTGGAGCAATACTTGTTAGGTATTAAGTTCAATCCATAAATTCTATTTACATACTTTCAATTCTCTCCATACATATCATTTCCTTCAAAAACAAAATTTATTACAATTTTATCTTTTTAGTCGGTTATATTTTTAACCTTTACACAAATCAATCATTTCTCAATCCATACCACCCCACCCCACAAACCCTAACCCTAGACATTGTCGCTGCCGCCGCCTGTCACCATCACTTCCTCCTTCTCTGGCAATTCTCTCCTCCTCTGTCGCATCTCTTTCTTCTTCCAGTGGCACTACAGGAAATGCCACTTTTGGCTACTAAAATATTGGTTACCAAAAGCCTAATTTTTGGTCGCTGAAACTCATTAGCGACTATTTTTTTTTTTTGTCGCCAGGGTCGCCGCTTATACCCTGTCGGTGACAGTATTGGCAACTAAATTTTTTTTAGTCGCCGAAAGTGAACGTTTGGCTACTAAACTATGGTTAGTCTGCAAAGGTTACATTTTGGAGACTCAAACATTCATCCCCGAAAGTGAACGTTTGGGTACTAAACTTTGGTTAGTCAGCAAAGATTATATTTTGGCGACTAAAATATTAGTTGTCAAAAGTTCTCACATAAATTGAATTCAACTATTAGAGTCTAAATTTTTAGTCACTAACAGATTTTTTGTCGCAGATAATAATACATTTTGTAACTACACATTTTAGCCGGGTAATATAATACATACATTTAGCGACCAAATAGTTTAGTCGTCGTTACTATTACCGACTACAAACTTTAGTCTCCAAAAGCCTCTTAATTTTCATTTCATTAGTTTTTACCAAGCATTTTAGTCGCCAAAGGATTGCGTGTTTTTCGTGACTAAAATATTTAGGCCAAGTTTGGGAAGTTATCAAAAAGTCAAAAAGTTACTCAAAAAGTTAAAAAGTTATCACTATTCATCAAAAGTCAAAAATTACAGCTGCACAACTCTCAATCCTAATTTTTCCCTACACACTAATTTATATAATTTTTTAATACACATTTTTCTATAAAAAGTCAAAAAGTTAACCCAAACAATCATATTTTTTTCCTCAACTTTTTAGTCTAAAAAGATAAAAAGTACACTTATTTAGGACACCCCAAACAACCCCTTAGTCAGCAATAGTTTCTTCCTTGATTTTTAGCTACCAACATATTTAGTCACCAAATACTACGTTAAATTTTTTTTTTTAAAATTTCTGAACTACCTGTATCCATTATTAGTGCAACCTGGACCTTGTATAAACAATATAATCCATCAATATTGAATATATTATCAACCATTCGACAACATGCACACATTTCACTTCCAACCATCCAAAAAATTCATATTGAACGTCCTATTCTAAATGTAATACAAATTCCATACGAACCAAGTACAATCCAACCTCAATAATGTAATTCTATACATAATAGAGGGTTAATCAAATTTAATATCCAAAAGGAAATTTTAACCACACCAAAAATTTAATTTGTACCGCCCCTAAAACTAATTTGTACCACGTCTAATGGGTTATGCTTATCTTGAGTTCATAGACAAGTAATGCTCAGCCACAATTGAAAGTATATCCTTCAACTCAGTGCTATCACCTGTGAATCAGACTCATCCATCTGGGTTAAGTTCAATCTTTGATTACGGGCCAAATCCCCAACAAGCTCCAAGAGAGGCAGTGGGGCAAAAAATTCATTACTTGGATGGTAAATAAGGGAAGGCTGAACCTCAGCACCATATAGATTATTTCTTGTTAATGCTTAATCCAGTTCATATCACTACGCCAAAACAGGGCATTAACGACGGTTTTTTTAACGGCAGTTTCGTTACCGCCGTTTAAAGATACTATTAACGGCGGTAACGAAACCGCCGTTAATGTATCTTTAACGGCGGTTTTCGTTACCGTCGTTAACAAAACCGCCGGTAATGACCCTTTAACAGCGGTAATGAAATCGCCGTTAAAAAATCGCCGCTAAAGCCATTTTTAAACGGCGGTAATGAAACCGCCGCTAAAGCCCTCTCATTACCGCTGTTAATGACGGCGGTCTTTGTCGGCCGAGCTCCGGCCGAGCTCCGGTGAGTGGTGACCACGTGCGGCTAGGGTTGAATATGACCATCTACAATAAAGTAAAAGTAATGTTTAAATATTTATTTAGGAAATATATTCCATGAAGAGTGGCTGTGGTGGAGTGGTTGGTGTGGGTGGATGAGAGGTTGAGGGTTCAAGACTTGGGGAGTGCAAGAAGAAAGAATTATTTTTTGAAAAATTTGAACCTATTTACGGCGGTAAAGAACCGCCGTTTTTGGTCGACTTTTAACGACGGTAATTTACCTTTTTATGACGGTTGTACTTTTTCCGACACGCGCATAAACGGCGGTAACGAAACCGCCGTTAAAGGCTTTAACGGCGGTTTTACAGCCTTTAACGGCGGTAAAAAACCGCCGCTAATGCCCAATTTTGGCGTAGTGCATCCTTTTACTTCATTTGACCCAGACGTGAGGAACTGCATAATTTTGTCATGTCTTGAGCATTGTTCACCAATCCCAAAGCTGAACATTACTGAGTTTGGGTGAGTGTCTGCAACCAAAGTAATTAAGGAATATAAGATTTCAGAGCATAATACAGCAATACAAAAATGTAAAAAAAAAAAAAAAGAGTAAGCAACACATAAAGAGGAATTGTCAACATGAAATATGAATCACGTTACTAAATTCTGATGCTTTACATCTTTGACGCACAAATCAATAGTCCATATTTTATAGATCAAACCAATCTCAAGTGTATTCCTCATATTTATTTCTATAACCCAATCAGGCAACTCCCTTTTTCTGCCGGTGCCTGGTTCCTACGTTGTTCTTTGTTACTCTTTCTACTCAAACTGACATTAACACATTCACTACTGTCTTCTCATGAATATGTCATATTTGGAAGTGAATTGGTTTACTACATAATAGCAATAACTTGTAACTTTGTAAGTAACTAAATCTTCGGATCAATAATTCAAGCAGCCTATCAACACAAACTCTCCATCTGATTAAGACATACTGATTTATTAACTATGAACAAGTGACTTCCACAAATAAGAACAAAAAATTCATTCACAACAGTAGTTGAATTTGGTGAAATGACCTTATATATGTTACAAAGTGGGCTCATCACCAATGCATTGGCCTACAGAGTAGACAATTGTGTCGCTTGATTTCGCATAGTT